AAGTCGGGGGAAACCGGTCGTCCATTGGAGGAGCAAATCGGGGGAAATTTCTACTCTCACATAGGGCCAGAGTCAGGGCCATACTACGGAGACGGGGCCAGCCAATTCAGGCCGAGTATGGGGTATCATCACCCTTATGATATGACTGATGGGATTGTTTTCAGGGCTAAGCCTCCTGTGATCGAGTTTCCCAAATTTGATGGGTATGGAGATGTGGGACTATGGCTTTATGCGACGGAGAGGTGGTTCAAAAACCACCAAACCAGGGAGGAGAGGAAGGCGCAACTGGCGTCTTTCTATTTGTAAGTGGATGCTTTACAATGGTGAGAATGGATGGAGCGTTCCTATGCAGCAGTTGATGTGGTTATTACTTGGTCGATGTTTCAGGAGGAGATCAAGTATCAGTCTGAAAAAGCGGACGGGTGGGCGCCAGAGCAGTTGGCAAAATTGAAGCAAACATGGTCGGTTGAGGAGTATCGCGCAGAGTTCCTTAAGCTGGGAAACCAGTGTAATTGCATGGATGAGGAGAACCTAGTGGGTTTGTGCATTGCGGGGTTACGGCCAGATCTAGCCGCAGAAGTCAAGGTATTCGAACTTGACTCTCTTCGAGTTGCTTTTAAACTTGCATGTCGAAAAGAGGAAGAGCTAGCTAGTTGGAAGGGAAGTATGGGGCATTGGACCAAGGGCATAGGTGCCAGTGGAACAGGTCTCGCGGGATCCGCGGGGAATCAGCCAGCCGCAGGAAACCCCGCACCGGGAGCTGCAAACCCAATGATCACGGGAGTTCCTCAGGGAGGGCGAATTTCGGCTCGACTGCAGCCGAAGGGGTTCTTGAAGCTCACTCCAGCAGAGATGGAACTGAAGCGGAGGGATGGGCTCTGTTTCAATTGCAATGAGAGATACACGGTGGGACACCAATGCGCGAAGGGTCATTTGATGCTAATAGTGGGTAACTGGGAAGATGAGGGCGAGGAGATGGCCAGGAAGTAGGGGACGCAGCACCCGAGGAGGAAAAGCCTAAATAAGCCAACCTTGAGGGCAAGGTTAGTCTCAAGGAGGGTGGATTGTAGGAAACATAAATCCCAGAGTCAACAGTACGTGGGACGAGTGGTAGTTAATTTCATTTGAGGGGCCTTTGGTTATTATTTTGGACTTGAGGGAATATTTTGTAATTCGGATGTTATTCATTATTCAGGTAGCTAAAAGTAATTTGTCGGTCTTATATATTTTGTACGGGAGGGGTTTCTGACGTTATGCAAGTAATAAGAATTATTATTCCCTAAGCCTAGCCCTCTTCCCCCAATCTCTCTCTCGTTTCTTCCCTCCACTCGGCTGCCCCCTTTTCCCCTAAGAGGAGCCGAACCTCACCTCCTCACCTCCTCCCTTCTCTCTTTTCTCAACTCCTAAATCCTCCAATTCTAATCCCTAATCTCTCACTACTTCCGAGCTTGACCGAGAGTTATCTCCGGGCTATACGCGCCTTGATCCTTGTTTCCTTCAGAAGCTGTTTGGAGAGTGTCGTCTCTCCCGTAGATTAGTCATGTCCTATCATGGATACCACGTTAAATTCCGGTGTTCCTTTACGGTTGATTTCCTGGTTCTTTACGATGATATCATATATAATTTCATTGAAAAATATGTAAAGTATATTTATTATTGAAACTATGATTATAATGTATGAAACGTAAATGTGAAAGAAAGCATGTGAGGTTTTTAGTTGGAGATTTTGAGGATGAACAAAAAAATGGCATTAAAATCAATTTCTATTAATCATGAAACAGATCATCAAAGGATTTAGAAATGATATATATTAATTATGGGACCTGATAGTTTAGCAAAAGTAATGCAGATGAATCAAGTAAGCAGAATGGAGACTCACCAACATTAAAATTCTGAAAGAGAGCTCACCAATAACCTGGTTCATCAAAGTAACAGGGAAGATATAGACATCACAAAGTACCAGACTTCAAATGTTAAAATGTCCACTGATACCTTATCCAACAATTGATGGACCGCTAGCTAATCTTATTTGGAGTATTAAGAATCCCTTCAAAGGATGGCGGGAGCTTCTTCATCACAATGAAAAGATATGTTGTCTTCTGCACCATGTGATGAAGCTGAAGAAAGAGGGTTTGGTTTTATCTATATCAATAATTCTATCACATCGACAAACAAAGAGAACAGAAAACCCCTACTTCATTCACCTATATAATAGTGGGTGGCATCCCCAATAAAAATTAGATCCTTAAGAGGCCTTGCTACTGGATGTAGTCTGGGTTGCAAGTTCGGCCTTCTTAGGGTCCGATAAAGACTGCTCATTTGTAGCCTTTGTTGAGTTATGGGGTTTCAAGTAGAGAGGTGGCAATTGGATCGGATTTGTGGATTCGTGGATTGGATTGGTGGATACATGGATCAAATGGATTGGATCCAATTAGGGATGGCAATGGGTCGGGTTGGGGCGGGTATTCTCAAACCCAAACCCATAGGTTTATCCACCAAAAAAATCCGGGGTAAAACCCGCTGGGTTTGAAAAACTCAAACCCAACCCAACCCGCTGGGTATCCGTGGGTTTTTGTGGTAAAAAATTTACAATAACAAGTTTCTTTCAAAATAAAAGTTTAACATCAATTTTCTCATACAAAAAATACCAATCTAGAGTATACAAGCAAACCACAAATGATCAATACAAATTGTTCGAAATTAAAGATAAACATCTATAAACAATAAGATTAATTGTAAACTTCTTCCTCGTCAACTAAGTTTCTTCACTCTCCACTTCATAATATCAACTTCATTCTAAACAATTAGAAAGAACAAATTATGCATGTCTCCGCAAACATAAAGAATATTAGTTGCTTAAGGAAGATATATTATTTAGAATATTAAATATACCGCGAAAGTAATTATATGTGTATGGGGCGGTTTACCAAAACCCAACCCGACCCGATGAATAGTGTAGCGGGTTTAACTCCGAATCCGGCCCAAAACCCGTCAACACGGATTTTACCCGCGTTGACCGGGTTGGGCCGGGTGGGTACCCGTGGGTTCGGGTTTTGTTGCCATCCCTAGATCCAATGGATTGGTGGATTCATGGATTGGATCAAATGGATTGGTGGATTGATCCATGAATCCAAATGACATCCAAGGTTTGGACCAAAATGTAAATTTTGAAAAGTTTAGGTAATAAAATGTAATGAAAAATTTTAGGTACCAAAATGTAATTTTCCAATGATGTTTTCGTATAAAAATATAAATTTTAGGTACCAAAATGTAAAATATAAAAAATATAGGTACCAAATCGTAATTTGCCATTTGGATCCATGGATTGATCCATGAATCCACCAATCCAATTGAATTTGGATTAAATGGATTGGATTAAGTGGATAATTTGGTGGATGGATTGGATTGAATTCATGGATTTTGATCCTAATTGCCACCTCTAATTTCAAGTCCATGACATTACGTTGTTTGATGAGCTTTTCAATTTGAATGGGCTCGTTGAGCTAGTAATCATGCATTTGTCGAGTTCCATTCGAATAAAGCTCGAGCTGGGTAATCTTGGAGTTGAGTTAAGCTTAATTTTGGACATTGCCAGCTTATCAAATTTGAGCCAAGCTCGAGTTTGAGATTTTAATTTCGAGTGTGAGCTAAGCTAGTCAATAACTTGGCTCCCTAAGTTTAACAAATATCACTTTTTTATCTATATTTTTATAGTTAATCTTTGATGGTTCAGCTAGTCAATAACTTGGCTTCCTAAGTTTAACAAATATCACTTTTTTATCTATATTTTTATAGTTAATCTTTGATGGTTCATTTTTTAGGGTAATTTTTTACAAATAACTCGTTTGGTAACGGTTTACTGAAGAAGTCTGAAGTTATTTGGGCAATGATTTATTTGAAATAACTCCCTTTATCACTCTACTTTTGCCAAATACCACACGCCAAATAACGAGATACTTTAATCCAATTACTACTTAATAATACTAAAATACCAAATAAACTATTAATGGTGTCTTTTGGTTGCAAATGTTGATATCACCATTGCTATTAGCTAGTGTACTTTACCAATTACGATTAATTACATAACAAGTTTGCAAGTCATACAAATTGATTCAACATTTTGACTTAGTTTTTTTTTAATTAAGTATATATACGAGGTAGAAAGAAATTGGTTAAAAATTGAGAAAAATATTTTAAATTAGTGTAATAAAATGTGTAAGTTGGTAATGAGTAAGGAGTAAGTTACTCGATGCGCTGACCCGAGCAACCCGCAACCCGATCCGCCCACCACCCGCCCGACCCAAAACCCGATGAACCCGTAACCCGATTTGTCCACAACCCGATTGAATCTGAACCCAATGAACCCGACTAACCCACAACCTAACTAACTCGCAACCCGATTGAACCCTGCCCGAACCCGCCCGATTGACACCTATAGTAGCCATGGCTACCAAATCCGCTTGCATTGTAATTTTGGTAGCAGTAACCTATATTATTAATCATGATTTTACTCTAGTAGAACAATTGATAAATGTTTAAGGTTAAAGTGGAACTACAATACAAACTGAAATATAAAGATTGGCTAAATTACACGTTTGGTCACTCAAATTATATAAATCTTTCATGTTTGCCACCCGAATTAGTTTTCTTTCTTATTCGTCACTAACTTTACGAATCGTTTCACCGTTAGTCACTGGCCGTTACACTCCGTTAAATTTGTCCTACATGGCAGTCAACTATTAAATTTGACCGTTAACTTGATGACGTGGAAATAAAAAAAAACTTTATTTTCCACCGTTAACGCGATGAGAGCAAGGTAAAATGGGGAAGAAGAATTGGAGATTTGTTTTGCAGAGGGATGGTGGTGTAGGGTTGGCGGAAGGTTCGGAAGAGGGGACTAATTTCAATTTTTTGGGGATTGCAGGGGATGGTTGGGTTCCGCAGAAGGGTGTAAAGAGGGGAATTGAAGAAGGTTGGAACTTGGATGGTAAGTGGATTTTGTAATTTAATTATTTTTATTAAATAATTAATATGAAAAGTATTTAGATAAAGTATGTGGGATAATGAGGTGGAAAATATTTTTTTATTTTTTTATTTCCACGTCATCAAGTTAATGGTCAAACTTAATAGTTGACTGCCACGTAGGACAAATTTAACGGAGTGTAACGGCCGGTGACTAACGGTGAAATGATTCGTAAAGTTAGTGACGACTAAGAAACAAAAGTAATTCAGGTGACAAACATGAAAAATTTGTATAATTTGAGTGACCAAACGTGTAATTTAGCCTATAAAGATTTATAGAGCTAATACATAAAGTCAATCGAGCACACACCAATGTTTTAAATCCAATGACCAACAAGTTCCCTTGGCATTTCTCTCTAAACTTTGGTCATGGATTCTTTCTTCCCAGGCTAATAGTCAGAAAATGACTCAACTTTGTTACCCACCTTCTTTCTTTTCCCCTTCCTTCTCCCTTTCCCTTCCCTACCCTCTTCTTGAGTACCCTTTCCTGCCTTTTTTCCTTGTCTTCTCGACTTGTCTTGCCTCAATCCTCTGTGCTTATAGCTTTCCTGTAAGCTCTCGTATTTCCCCTTCTCAAGAACATCCTTATAACTTCCTTTGACTACATTAGACCAACTAGTTCCTGGAATTCCTGCCACACTAGTCAGACGTTCCTTTGGAAAAGGTGCACAAATGTCGTGATCTAACTTGATTTGACTGCAATCTGAATCCATGGTTGTATCGTCGGTCTCTGAAACAAGTGTCGGCCCATTTCTTGTAATGGATGGGTCAAAATCTGATTCGTTACAGGGAAGCATCTCATCGCCATTTTCTTGAGGAATTGTCGGATCAGTAGTAGTCAAGAATGTCAAATTATTATTAGTCGCCTCTTGTCCGATTTTCAAGCCTTTTGATGAAGATGTTAGATCATCATTCTCTTGAATTGCAATCTCCTGTTTTTCACCGCCTGTTAGTCCGCATTCTTCTATTGTTCCTTCATGTGTTTTCAGGTTGTCACTAGTCGGCCTTTGATCGATGTGCTCAACAACATTGCTGCTCCCATTACTCTTTTGAATTAATGTCACATCATTGCTTGTTTGTAATGCCTGATTATCATATGCATTTTGGCTCGTCAATCCATTTGATGTAAATGTTTGACCAGTGGTGCCGTGAGCTGTGATTTCGAGATGTTCATTGCTTGTTAATATATGTTGCTCTGCTCCTTCAGTTGTTTTGGGATAATTGCTAGTCAACGTCTTGTTGATTCTTTGCACCTTATCATTGTTTTCATCAATATCCTTAACAACTTTTTGATCATTGCTTGTCGGGAATGTTTGATGACCTACCTCTTGTAGGATCGCCATTCTATCTGCTTCAGATGTTTGATCATCAATGTCTCGAGGAACAATTTTCATAGGCTCTTCATTTCCTGTTGATGTAGTTTCTTTCGATTCTTCTACTATTTTTGGATCAATGCTAGTGCACTTTTCATCGACTCCTAGAGAACAATTGTTCCTTTCATGAACAATCATCGCTTCATTGCCTGCGAGGATTGTCAGACGATCGGGTTCTTGTTGGACCATCAATCCATCAATCATTATTGTCTGAACATCGGCATGGTGATCAGTGACAATTTCCGGCTTTCCTTCAATCATGTCAGGATCTACGCTAATCAACTTCTTTCCAGCGACTACTTCCTCCCTAGTCAATGGCTGGTCATTATGATTCGACCCTTCTTTGCTAGTATTGATTTGAACATCCATCTTCATCGTCTTCTTCTTCTTCTTCCTCCTCCTCATGTCAGTCAATCCATCGTTACGACGATTATTGACATCAGTAACATTGATCTCTTTCTCCTTCGCACCCATTATACCCCAATTAGTCATCACAGTTATCAAGAATCTCAGCCAAGAAATAAAATGGAGTAATGCCCAATCCAGAAACGGAACATGGTGAACCAAAGCCGGAAACTTTTTGATCGTATCATCAAGCTTCTCGGGGAGAGCCTCTGCAACTTTAACAAGCTCATCGATCCTGTCAAAAAACTGCTTCAATGGCGGGAAAATGGCTTCCGCCAAGCTTTCTATCCTTAAAATCCAGTCATCCAAAAATGCCAGAATTGCAAAAAACTGACATTGCAAGGCGCAGATTACTGATGGAGATGCAAAATTGACCGCCAAATCCCCGACATTGTAGTTTCTGGACGCCGTTGTGTAGGCTTTGCGAGAAATTTCTAGGAGGGAAATCCAACAAGTTTGCAGCGGCCGTTGCCTGGAACCCATTTCAGATCAGGAAAATTGGCAACAGAGAAAAGAACAGGAATTTGCAGGAACGCTGAATTTTCTTCCTTCCAATGATGAGAGAAAATATTAGATTAGTTGAAGCTTGTTTGGTTCCAGGGCAGTACAAACCATTTTCCCCTGGAAGAAAAAAAGCTGAAACTCTTTCTCAAACCATGGAAAAGATCGCAACTTTTTGCAGAAAGAGGAGAGAAAAGAAAGGTTCAGGTTTTTCGTCAGATTTTAATTGGGGTTTTGAAGGCCAAAAAGGTTACGGCAGCCATGATTTTTAGCGGGAGCCTATTCCTTTGGCACAGAAAATCTCCCGCCAATATGGCTATACACGTGTCCGATTCTTTCACCCATGAATGGCTTATCACCATTGATAATTTTAGGGTCAGACGTTGGATTCCCAAAAGAAGAGAATTTGCCGAAAAAGTTGTATGGTTCCATGAAATCGAATTCGGTTCTCAGAATCGCATCATTGGCCAATAATACTTTGTTTTGGCTTTACAGCAAAGGGGAGCCCAATTCCATGGATTTATTTGAGCCTTGTCCTTTCGATCAGTCCTTTTGGGAATCGAATCAAAGGATGAATTCCGAGATGTCCACTGCCGGAATCCTTGATTGAAAAGGAAATGGGTGGGAAGGGAAGAAAGAAGAAGAAAGCAGGAAGAAGAAGAAAAGAAAAGTGGGGTTCTAGATTGAATGGGCTGGTTTGCCATCTCAACCAGTCGGAAAATGCACAAACCTGAAACTATCCCGCTCGGTAACCACTCGGTTCAGTTTCACACCATTAGTATGTGTTATATGAACACAGGACAAGCTTGATTTATGGGTTTCTGCTGAAATTTGCTTTTCATTTCAATATCTCTGTTGCTTGTTTGCCAAAGTCGGCATGTTTCTTTGATGGAGAATTATTGTTTGGATTTCGACTTCGTTTTTGTAATTGTGTGTTATGCTTTCCTTTGGGTATTTGGTTGATTAAGGATTGGGATGGTTCTTATCATTCTCTACTTGCTCTGTTGGGGATGAAAGAATGGAGCTTTTCGTTTCTCAGTAGGTTCGTTGCTCAAGATTGTTTGTGGGCTGAGTTCGTTTTTGGAGCTTCTGAAGCATTACATGAAGTCTAATGAGATTACTGAAATGGCTGCCTTTTCCTATCTTTCCTTTGCTTGTTTGACTGTTTCTAGAATCAAAATTGAATCTCAAAAATGGAGTTTTGCTTCCCTTTGCTTGTGGGTTATACATTGGTTTGGGTGTCTTGGTTGGTTTAAGGGCATTGGGACCATCCTTATCTTTATAATCATTCAACAGAAACATATTGTTGTTCAAGATGAACTAGGGGTTAGGTTTACTACCACAGTACCACTTATCTTCTTTGGCTTGTTTGATTGTTTTTGGACGTAAAGTTGAAAGAAGGGTGAGAGGAGAAATGGGATACGTTTCTTTTGTGGAGAAATTTGTTTACTTTCTATTCTTTCTTTGCTTGTGGGTTATGCTTAGCTTTGCGTATTAGGGCATTGGGGATAGTCCTCATCATTTCTGTTTCTCAATAAGGAAACATACGGGTTGCTCAAAGATGGATAATGGATTAGGTTTGTTTTCTTTTTTTTTATACTTATAACAATTCCATGCCCCATTAGGCTAATACTGATCATGATCCTAGCATCCCTGTTGTTCCTTTCCTTCTTGTTTCTTCTTTTCTTGTACTGCAAATGCAAATTTGGGCTGTGTGAGATTGATAAAGCCGTCTATCACTGCTTCGTTGGTTCAGGGATTCCTGGAGATGGTAGGTGCTTGTTCCGGTCTGTTGTCCATGGTGCTTGCCTTAGATCAGGGAAGCCATCTCCCAGCGAAACCGTCGAGAAAGAACTTGCTGATGAACTGAGAGACAAGGTAAAGAGCTACATCTGCTGTTCCGTGCTTTAGGGCTCAACCCTTTCCATCTTGTGCGCTGCTGTTTCTAATGGTTGATTTCTGGTGTGTGTGGCAAACCTTTCTGTACAGGTTGCAGATGAATTCATTAAGAGGAGGAAGGAGACTGAGTGGTAAAAAGCTATACCTTTGAGAAATGTTCTTCGCGTTCGGTTCAAAACAGCAGCATCTTTCAGCTAGCTTGTACAAATATGGGTTTTTTTTTTGTCCAATTCAATTGCAGGTTTATCGAGGATGATTTCGACACATACGTTGGACATATGAGACAGCCTCATGTATGGGGAGGAGAACCTGAGCTTCTTATGTCCTCCCATGTCCTAAAGTTCGACCTCAAGCCTTCCCTCTAGCCTTCTCTCCCTTGTTCTTTCCAGATCATCACATGAAAAATGTCTCCACTTTCTGTTTTCTAGGATGCCAATCACGGTTTACATGAGGGATAAGGCTCCTGGAAACCACAAGATCATAGCCGAATATGGGCAAGAGTATCATGGTAACGAGAACCCCATACGGGTCCTGTATCATGGTTATGGCCATTACGACGCGCTTCAGACACCGGTTTCTGCTTCAGAATCCAAGCTGTGAGATCTCCTGATTCTAAGCTTCAATGGATCTCTCCTTATCCCTACCCTTCAACGGTTATAGTGATCCTAATACGTTAACTGGTTGCCAATGCTTGCAGGTTCAAGAGAAGATGAAGGAAGAAATCACTAGCAAATTAACCATGTAACATCTGTAAATACATTAACACGAACGAAGATGATTTGATGGTGCTACTCCAAAAAGCACCCAAAAGGTTCCAGCCAAATTTGGTGATGTTACATTGTTATTCTTTCAGTTTTAAACATGTAATTAGGAATGGCAACATGAGGTACCCATATCTGCCTCTTGTAATTTGGGTTGCCCCTTGCGTAGCATGATCAGATCAGGTAATTTTGTTTGGTGTACAAGTCAAGAGCAAAATGAATCATTCTGATATATGATATGAAAAAAGTACAGATCAATTCGATATTACACACAAAATGAAAGGAAAACAATAGGAGAGATAAACAAACCGTATTGTTCAAGAGCTGCGAACTTCGACTTAGTTGAAGATATACAGATACTAAAGTACGGGGGCTATAATGGCTGAGAAAGGTTCAAGATCGGATGCAAAGGATTGATGCCGCGATCTCTGTTACCAGCAAAGGATTGGGACGAATTGGCCCTAGTGATTTATGTCAAAATCATAACATGAGACAAGTCCTTCAATGAACAATTTAGTTGATAAATCATCCTGAAAAATGTTTGAACTACAGATTATTTAGCATATGAACGTTCATGGTGTCCGCATTGTACAACTCAGGAACATCAAAAGGCAGAGCAATCCAGCCACGCTGAATACTGGGGGGGATAACACTATATACAGACCTCTACTATCAGGAAATGGAATGTGGATGCGCCATTTTTCTTTACTGCCCGTCTTTCCATACTTCTCTTAGGAGTTGATACCTGACTACTTTTCGGCCACCCTTTCCCGTTGAACCCGAGGGAGAAGAAGAGGCTGAGAGCTTGTCAACGATGATGGAATTCATCGGCGAATCCAGCTCCTCGAGCTCATCGTCGCTGGTGTATGATTTTCGTAGTAAAGATGATCCACTTCTCTGCAGAGCGCTACTGCTCTGACCACCAACCTCACCTATGATGTTTGTCAGTGAAGCTGCCAAAGGCGGCAAATAGACTGTTGGTTTTGCTGAGCATGGAAAGCTCATGAGAGATTCATCTCCAGACTCGCCAGGATCCTAACATCAAAGACCGAGGGGTGGAATGGAATGTATGAGTGACAGTTTTGATACAAATCAGTTAGTTTAGCATTTTGTCGTGATTTTTCATTTAGTGACCAATTAGACATTTAACTCCCAGAAATACCAATTGACCGCTCAAGCCATAGAGATACAGACTGACCTCTGAATCCAATGCATTGAGGATGGAATCTGGCATGGGGTCCGGGTTGAATTCATCTGGGATGAAGTTGCTAAGAACCTGCTTGATCAATGGCCCTCCAAATGTAGGGCAGACCTACAGACAAGGTTGCAAAAGTTAAAACCAGTGGAAGAAGAATGACTAAATGAAAAGTGGACTTGAGAATCATAATGCATAAAGGTATTTAGCTACTTCTTTTCTGGTCGATTGGTCCCCAAGCATTTCAAATGGGAGCATCATGAGATCGCTCAGTGCATTAAGGAGGTGAAAAATCTTGAATGGCGTTTCACTATCCTTTACTTCATCATCTTCGTCGATACCAAACAAATCTGTGAGCCATCTGGACCAGCTGCCGACCTGTTGACATTTTGTTACAGTTGTTAAACAATTGAAAGTAAATGAGTTAAATCCTTAAACTATCTGGAAAAGAAATTTCCTCACTCACAGCATTCTTAAGTTGTGCCCCAGCTCCAAAGCTTGATTTCCCAGCTGGTATAGGAAGCACCTTAGGATCACTAATGGGGTCTGAAACTGGATCTGTAGGCATTTCGTCAGCTGATTCGCGAAGAACAGCGTTGAACATCGCCACATCTAGTCTAGCTACCAACTGCTCCATTACCTATAAACAACAATATCAGCTAAGTGTTGAGTTTATTGATCATCTTTTCTCTGAGAAATGAACTAGCTAGCAAAATCATACCAATCTAGCAAGTACAGGCAAGCAACCACATTCATGGCCGCCAGCTCTAATGGGGCAAAGTCTTTCACAGGCATCTCTGAACGCCTTCTGCCATAGATCAATGGCAAAGTTCCCCTGTTCTTGATTGCCTAATCCATGCTTCCGAGCATGTGCCTTCTTCGAGCCAGCGCCCTTCACTGCTGTGGACTGCATATGTGGGGTGAGGGTCTGCAGTAAATCACAAAGAAACAAACTTCAGAACAAGCAAAATATACACACAAAAAAACTCGGGCTGAAGGGCACAGTTGCAGAATTAGGGGATGACCTGCCACCAAACAGATTCAACGATGCGGGAGAAGATCCAAGCTTCGACCTTTTCAAGGGCTGTGATAAATGTTCGAGGATTCTCCCACTCATCTAAAACATTATTAGCTTTTGCTTCTTTGGAAGGAGAGGTTCTAGGTGCCAGGTTTAGTTTTTCGACAGCTTGACTGACTATTGCTCTCAGGACGATCGAATTGGACAGCCAGAAAGTTAACCTGGATTTATAGCGTTCGCACTGTTATTCATCTTATAAATGTTTGTTCCACATTTGTGAAATAGGTCTAGCATAATGGGACCCAGTAGATATTTAACTCTAGCTTGGCTAGCTGTGTTTCATACCTGGGGACATCATTTCCACAAGCTTTGGAGACCAAGATCAAGCCAGAAATGATGGCTCTTGCTGCATTTGCCCTCTTGCCCTGATTCCTTACTTTGCAAGCATGAAGATAGAACCTGGAGAGGCGCCTTGCTGGAGCATGAACCTTATTCGCCGAACTCCCATGCTCAGCCACTACGGAATACAAGCCAATCTCGAGAGCTGCAGTCTCCATTAACTCTTCCTCAAGCATCTCAACTTTGTTTACTTCTCTACCATTTGGCGAGCCATTTGCTCCTACTTTTTTAGAATTTTTTGAAACAACTTCAATCCTCTTCGGCTTCTGCACAGGAGGGACCTTGACAGCAGAGTTCTCATTCTTGGTGACAGCAGAGTTCTCATTCTTAATTAACATTTCACCTTCAGATCTTGATTTGACATTGCTTTCGATAGAGCTCTTTGGTTTTTCTTCTCTTTCACCTTGATCATTGATCATTCCAGCTCTACCACTAGTTCTTTCAGTAACTTCACGCTTCTTCATTCTCTCTGTAGATTGGCCATTGCTAGAGGGCCTGTAACCTTCAGAAGCAGCATACTGCAACTGAATAGATTTCAATTGCTTCAACTTATCTCGCCGAGTGTTCCCCTGAACTCCGACTGCATGACAATTGGAAGCAATAGTGTTACTCCTCAATGGAACCTGGCTTCTCGTATCATCTCGACTTACTTCACCAGCAAGTTTCTCTTCAACAGTATATGATGTTTTGGTCGCCAAAACCGCAATATCCTGAGCATTTGCCTTCAGGTCGTTCCCATCTATGTTTAGAAAATGATCAGCAGGTAAATTGGAAACTTTAGCCTCCTCTGAGCCACTTTTGTGTTTCAGCTCTTGCGATTCTTGGCTGCTTCGATATTTATGAATGCTAGCATGGTTCGAAGCCTTCTCAACCAGAACTGGATAATCTTCTGAAACAAAGATTATCAGGGACGAATGATGATTATGCAGTTTAGACAAAAAGATCCAAAATTTTCATTCCATATGGAGGATAGTAAGCTACTTCGCACGTTTACAAACACTACCTGCTGAATTTACTGGAACGGCTATTATGCCCAAGGAAGGAAGAACAGCATTCTCCTTTGGTCTCGCTGTACTACTGATTGCAGATGCTGTTCCATTCTGTATTTTTAAGAGGCAATGAGTTAACAACACAAATAGCTTTTATATGAACCCTGATGAAAAGACAGTTGTATTTGACTCAATTTCAAATATTCTTCTCAATAAAGAAAAACCAAAAGATGGATTAAGCAAATGTACCAGTACGAAAGACGACTGAATGGTAGAAAAAATGTACCTTTTCGGAATAACTAGGTGAACCTCTACTAGACACCACAGCAGAAGAGACATCACCATCATCGGCATCATCGTCGGTAAACGAAGCAATCTCCTCCTCATTCGTGACCTCCGAAACAGACTCACTTCCCCCCTTCTCCATCGACACTTCTTTCGACAAGCTGCTGCTGGTGTCATCATCACCCTTCTCAAACGCCTGAACTATGAAGTAAACTATCGGTTGTAGGGCGCCCTTCGAGCTCTTCTTCAAGTTCAATGGAGCACTTATGGTGATGCCATCTCTAATAATTCCATAATCTGCAAGGTTCACAACTGCTGAACCCAAGAGTTGACCTTTGTTTGACTTCTGATTTTTAGGCTCAAACAAGTAGAACTCCAACAAGTTTTTTGCATAACTCTCACGGTCATTGCCTTTCCTGGATGCTTCCTTGGTCAGTGTAATGAGAAGCCTGAAGGAGTCAATGAATTCTAGCTTCCCCTCAGCAATGACACAAGCCAATGTTCCATAACTTTGATCACCATTTTCCCATTGGAGAACCAGTGATGTTGAGGGTTTAACAGAATGTGATGGTGGCCATGGACTGATCTCTTGAACTTGGACCAAGTAATCAACTTGGATCGTATTGGCTTTCTTGTTCTTTGATCTTAGCCCCAGAACCATTTCTCTTGATCACCTGAATCCACGATGCTGAATTGCCAACCTCCGCAATCTATACGAAAACGAGTAACTAATCAGATTTAGATGACAAATCTAGATTCAACCCTGTTGAGATCAAATGAAAATCAATCTCAATTAACAAAAGGAAGCAAATGGGTTAATTACAACTGTTGAGACGTGGGGCAGGATGAAGGAAGGAAGCAAAGAACATGGACAGAACGTGGGTAGGCTATTTATTTTGCCAAACACAAAGTTATACTTCTAGATGCCCACTTTCCTCAAGCATTGCATTTCTTTGACAAAATTACAGAACGAAGTAAAAGCAAACGCAGCCCTCATACTGATTATCACATTGAACAATTGCATTGAGTGGTCAAGGCCAAAAAAATTCTAGTAATCCACCAATTTTGAGGAAGGAAGAAGAGAAAGTCAAAGAAATGGAAAAGAGAGGCGAGTCCATGAACCTTACTAAAGAAGAATGGAAGGAGATGATCAATGAATGATGATGATTGGAATTGAGTTCTATTTGTCAACATATCAGATGGATCAATGAATGGAGGGCATTTAACTGCTGAAAATGGGAGCAGTTTCTAGAGAATCTGACAAGGGGGAAAGAAAATTGCATAAACAGACAAATTCCACTTCACGGGACTTCCTCCATCAGGGGAGAAACAGTAGAACGAAGAAAAGTTAATGATTCAAAGCAGCCAAGCAAGATCCAGAGTTACACCAACCCACAAGCAGACTCATATCAAACCAGAATGAAAAATGAGAAGAACGAGACGAAGGTAGAAGCTTTTGTTCTTGAATCGAGACAATCGCCATGCAGGTTAAACAAATGTTTCCACAAAGCTCAATTGGTTCAAAATGATCATTTCCTGAAGTGGGTTTACCTGAAAAGCGACGGATTTGAAGTTCTTTAGCTGGTTTTGCGGAGATGGAATCCAAATCAGCTGAGCTTAAGCAGCTGGGAAACGGAGGAAGAATGGTTTATGGGAATGTGGGCGGAAAAGGGAGCATCTTTGGCTTACTTTGGCGGTGGGATTTGTGATGGGAAGGAATTTGAGATGCAAGATGAAGCGAATGAGAAATTTAGTTTACTGGTTGAGCCTTCCTTTTCTGCTTCGGTTAACGAGTCAAATTCGTATGAAAAGTTGCGAACTTTGCTCTTGAATGAATATATATACGGCATGGGAAACCGGAGAGGCAAAGCAAGGTCTCAGCTCAGAAATAGGGTGACGATTTCTCTCTATCCAATCCCACCGCGTTGTTATATGACAAGCATTTTATTTTATTTTATCTTCCCTTTTTCTTTCAAGAATTTGGTTTTTCTGTTTTGTACCGAATGAAATGAACGCATAAAATCTAAATTTGTTTCTTCTTTTCCCAAAATAGGGAGTGAACCACAAAAGGAAGATAACAAACAATAAGAGTTTACAAACAAAAAAAAAAAATTCAAGTTAAAAATAATAATTACGGCATTATTAATCTTTTAAAGCAACATTATATTCTGCGTATGATTATATTCAAGATGGAGATATTAGTAAGGTACAAGATTAAGATTATTCACGAATTTTATCTTAGAAAGTTGCTTAAATAAACAATAGAAATTGAACATAAATTAGTTCTCTTAAACAAAAGTTTAAGTGAGATCACTGATTCAATCTAATAAAATTTTATATTTTGATTATGTGACTTTTGTTTTCAAGATGTGTGCATTCATTTATGTGAGCTAATTATGTATAGTGCTGAAATGTCCAGAATGTGAGAATTTGGATGTGATACTTGAGAGTTGCTTTCTTAGTATTGATTAATAGTGCCAAATATTATTGTATTAGTTAAATGACTCACCTTTGGCTAATCAATAGTGATAATGTCTGGGACCATGTTACTCTTGGTGATGTCAATGACTTGTTTTATTTTTAACCCAGATTTTAATATAATTTATCATTATTCATATTAAAAATATATAATTTGCTTGAAACCTTTTTGCAAGATCTGCAGACTGCAGTGCTCAGGGAGAGGGGTGAGGTTGGGATCTGAGGGGTAGCTTGATCTAATTCCATCTGGAGAAAAAAAAAATTCACAATTTTAGATTTTGAATATCAAATTAGAAACTTCTAGTTTTTCTTTTATTTATCAAACTAGAAACTTCTCATAAAACGGTTAAGAGTTCAGAGCCAAGAGAGGTTGTCAACTCGATTTAGGTCATTGGCCCGGCTGAGAAAGTGGGTTGACGCTTAATGGGCCAACTACTTTATCCCGGTTTAGCTCGGATATATGAAAAAATCATTATATTGTACATCCATTTATAAATTATGTCAAATCTCATCTAACATATAAGTAATAATATATATAACATTACACCAAAATAACAGATCGTACTTGGATTCAACATATTGTGAAAATCCTCATACACTTATATAACATTAATATTCAAATGTTCAACTTAGAATTCAAAGATAGGATTAGGAGTAGAGGAAAACCAGAAAACAGACGCATTTCGCAAAGCAAACTAAAAAACGATGTTGTGTGACTTCTAACCCGATAACCTTGCAACGAGTCGACCCGACTGGCATGTGTGGCCGGTTTGTACCACTGGGTCAGGGTCAAAGTGGGGGTCAATCCGCGGATTGACAACCTTGGAAGTTGGAACCACGTGATAGAATGTTTTCTGGTGTGCACCCAGCTGAGATGGGCTTTCTCCATTCGGCTCATGGAGTGCGATTTATTGGGCCTGCACAAAACCCACGTCATTCAAAACCATTTAGGTACAAACATTCAATTATCTATGGACATAGCCCATTATGGCCCAGTTCATATTGTGATCTATGAGCATGGGCCCATTAGGTCCACTTGCGGGTTCTGTATCCAGCCAGCTCACCAAGATCCACATTTCGCTCTACCCTCATTTACATAACACTCATCAAACTTTGGGAGTGACAAAACTTTTGACTACTAACAATTTCGTTACTTAACTTTTAAGTAATTAGCAGGCCATGCATGAATGCATTGACAGATTTGTTTTTTTTTTTTTTTTCGTGGCTTCAAAATGTAGTGACCTAATTTGACCCTTTCATTTCACTCTACATATATAAACATATAAACCATGTTATAGCCTAACTATTATCACTTGTAAAAATTTTGAGATGACATTTTAGTCATTGCTCTGAATATTCAAGTTCATATAATTTTCAAAAGCATGTTATTGTAAAGTTGTACCTATATTATTTGTCCAGTTTTAGTCCCCTCACAAACGAATTGTCCAAATCCATTACAATTGAGGTAGAGTCATTTTTAATATCCAACAAGTACGAGCAGAGGACTAGCATGTTACGAATAATTTTATTTTTTATTTATTAATACCACATAAAAAATCTAAAGTATAATGATAATTGAATTGAAAAGCAAAAGGGAGAATTCCAAACAAATACCACTTTTTGAGAGTTATCTGGGAAACGGTGCGGTCTGGTCACGGTCTATGATCCAAAACGAGAGGCTAAAGTATAGATCATAGACCAGACCACATACTATACGGTCCGATCCAGATCACGCCTATGCGGTCTGGTTCGGTCTGGTCTGGTCCAGATAGACCACACTCAACGAAAAATGAATAATTTGCTTAGTCAACCACACAAAAAATTGAACCAATAACAAAGAAAAAATATTGTTATTTGCCTTAAAACATTAATCCTAACATGCACGAATAATTTTGATGCTCTAAATCTTAGTACATAACAAAGATACAAAGTAAAAGCATCACAACTTGCACCATAATGTCATAAACATTAACATATGGAGACACGATTATCTCTACTCTCTCGTTAAATGTGGTTGTGAATGAAGGAGGGACGAGATTCACAAAACTAAGGTTGAGACTTGGGTGTCATTTTGGGAGTTGGTAGAGTGGTTGAATGGGTTGTTAGCACGTATTGACAAGTCAGTTGGGTTCACGGTTTGGTCCGGTAAACCGCGGTCTAGACCAGACCAGACAAAGAGATCAAAACATAAAATAATACAGACCATGGACCATACCAGACCATACTTAACGGTCTACGGTACGGTTTGGACCACGATTTTTCTAACGGTCTGGTCTATTTTCCCAGCCCTAGAGTTATCACAGATTTTTACATCATCCAAAAAAAATTGAATGAGAATTTTCACGGAAAACTTAAACCAGATAAACAATCCAATCCACAATGGCAAAACCAACACTTAGAATATTTGAGGACTAGAGATCAATGATGAAAACTTATTGGAATCTAACTAGATTCTTCGCAAAGAGGTCTGACACCCTACCACCTATCAGTATTTGAATATTTGTTTTAACATTATGATCCACATCAAATATTGTGAGGGAGATGCTCATCGTGGATTACACGTAACTCCACCACGGAAATTACATCTATCTTAGTTATAACAAAACTTCGTATATGTGTTGTGGACTTGTCCATGAGAACATGTTTACACCAACCCATTATTAAACTTTCTTTTTCATCTAAGTTTGGGTAATGTATCTATTTCACCTCGACTCAATGCGTGCTTCATTCTCTCTAAACCCTATTCAATAGTATTATTGGGTTGTGCTTTCGAAAGCTAGGTGTGGTCACTTTCGTATGGGTTCAACTTCACCTGAATTAATTACTTCGTTGAAGTATCCTTCCTAACACACCCACATTACTGCTTCCTTACTAGTTAGTATCATAATATATACGCCCCTCCAAAACCATCTCCCTTTGTAACTAATTACAATTAAGTACATAAATTCAACTCCTAATCAAAATAGCAGGCCAGTAAAAGTGTCCCCAAGGTTGTGGGATGTTCATGAGGAAATCGAGGGTTGTCATGGGTAGTCCAAAGGGGAAACGTTCATGGATTTCTGGTTTGGCGCCATTTCCGAGTCGTCCTATATGGGTAAGAGGCTCTCGTAAGTATAATATGAACAGTTTAATCGCTCTATAGTATATAGAAATGTTAAAATAAGCTATTTTTCAATATTAACAATGTATTAAAAGGACTTGGTACCCTTTATATAATCACACGAAATCAATAATTGATAAGTCAATAAATTTCTAGCTGTTATTAAAATTTCACTTCACATAATAAAAATACGTGTATTGAACATGTTGTTTTGTATGAGCATTGTACGCTACTATGTGTTTAGTACGGGAATGAAGATCATATTATTAAACCACAAAAGATAAGTATACAGGTTCTATATCAAATGGGGTAATTAGCCTGGCTGCCATTGAATAAATTAAATGGGGGATTAATATTTGGTAGCTAATTGAATAATTGACTGCCATAGGGGAAAATGAAAATCCCATAATAATCATCCACAAAATGGAAAGTAATTAAAAGACAAAACCCAGCATTTACTTCAATTAAAGAATTGGGGGGACTAAAACTATAAATTTCCGTCCACCTTTTTTGTCTTCACACTCAAACTTCATAAAACCCAAAAGGCCGGCGCCCGGCGCACACAGCTGACAGCTCTGTGCTTTCCTCCGCGGAGAGAGCGCTCGATTTAAAAAACTCTCATTCCTTCCTTCTCTTCGCAGTTCGCTCCATAAAAGAATCTCCGTCAAGCCTCGCTTGCCGGCCATCCCAATTCCCTTGCTTGGCTCCCCTGCATCTCTCTCTCTCTCTTTCCCTCGTCCCCTCCATTTCCGCTCGCTCGGGCTCCGTTCCGGCGTGATCCGAAGGTATCCAAGCTTCTCTCGTTTTTCTTTTCCGGCCTTTTCTCCTGTATATTCTGCCTGTTTGATTCCCGGGAAAACGAAAATGTCGTTTGACTAAACCGAACGAGCTACAGTTCTCATTTTCCTTTTCCGCTGTCGCTTTGGTTTGGCTGTGGAATTTCTCAATTGGTAATTGCTCGAAAGCACCTCGCCAATCTGTGGCCATTTTGTGCTGTTTGCTGCTGTATTCAATCTTGTTGATATTCTCTATTTGGAGATGTAATGCTGCTCGAGGATTGCCAACTGGTTGTGCTCAATTTGGTTTCCTCGCGTTTCTGTGATCTTTTGCCCAGTAGTTGTAGTCCTGCAAACTGGCCTTTTGCTTGCTTGATACTCTGGCGATAAATGCGAATTTCAGGTCAAGGATCTGGAATTTTGAGAGAAAGTTAGATTAGGTTTTTTTTTTTAGAGTTGTAGCAAAGGCCCAGTGTTTGCTGCATTCTTACTCAATTGTGATTTTTGCTTCGGAGGAGACTGTTTTCGATTTGTATAGATTGAATTCCTCGGAGCAGCAGTAGTCCTCTGATCTTCTCTGATAACTTGGTGAATTTATGCTGGCATCTGAGTTTAGGATCTAGCATTTAGATGTATTCAGTCTGATGCCTTCGTTATTTTTCCTCATATCGAGCAGGCAGAGAGTTCCTATATAGTGTATGCTTGAAGGATTTCTGGAGTTTTGAGATAGCAGATTAAGGGTTTTATTAGGGTTGTAGCAAATGCCAAGTTTATGCTGCAATGAATGCCCGAGATTAGTTTATGGTTTTCGGAGAGGCTTTGAGCTCTATGAAGCAATAATAGTGCTCTGATCTCTGATGACTTAGTGGGTTTGTTCTGGAACCCGGATTCAAGTGGAATGTAATTAGAGAAGACTTCGCTAAGATAAACAACGTTTTTTTACAACTTCTGCTCTTTTCAGATGTCTGGTGATGTGGAGAATCCTAAAGCACCAGTAGGCTCCCCAAAATCCAATGGAGTTAAGTCCACCTGGTCAAGTTACTTACTGGAGAAGACATCTGTCTACGGTGTAGCAGCAGGCTACTGCATCTCAGCATCCTTACTCTCCATCATCAACAAATGGGCCATCATGAAATTCCCTTATCCAGGAGCATTAACCGCTCTCCAGTACTTCACAAGTGCAGCAGGCGTCTTACTGTTCGGCTCCTTCAACCTTCTAGAACATGACAAGCTCAACCTCCTGACCATGTGGAAGTTCCTGCCAGCAGCAATCATGTTCTACCTCTCCCTCTTCACCAACAGCGAGCTCTTGCTCCATGCCAATGTTGACACCTTCATCGTATTCCGCTCTGTGGTTCCCATCTTTGTCGCCATAGGCGAGTCATTCTTCCTCCGCCAGCCATGGCCAGCTCTCAAAACCTGGCTCTCTTTAGCCACAATCTTTGGTGGTAGCGTGCTCTATGTCCTGACAGATTACCAGTTCACCCTCACTGCCTACAGCTGGGCTTTGGCTTACTTGATCAGCATGACGGTCGACTTCGTGTATATAAAGCATGTGGTCATGACCATTGGGTTGAACACATGGGGGCTTGTGTTGTACAACAATCTCGAGGCGTTACTGCTCTTCCCTCTCGAGTTGCTGATAATGGGCGAGCTGAAGAAGATCAAGCACGAGATCACCGAGGAGACTGATTGGTACTCTTTTGAGGTTGTTTTGCCAGTGGGGCTGTCTTGTCTTTTCGGTTTGGCTATCTCGTTCTTTGGGTTCTCCTGTCGGAGAGCGATTTCTGCTACTGGGTATACAGTCCTTGGCGTGGTGAACAAGCTACTGACGGTGGTAATTAATCTGGTTATATGGGATAATCATGCTACGTTCGTCGGAACTATAGGGCTGCTGATTTGTATGGTGGGTGGGATTCTGTATCAGCAGTCCACTAGCAAGAAGCCTAAGCCTGTTGCAGAAGTAACAGCGAGAGAAACCGAGGGAGGAGGAGGAGGAGGGGAAGAAGAAGAGCAGAAGCTGCTGGAGTTGCAAAGTAAAGATCTTTCAGAATCCCAGCAAGGTAAATGAGGAAGCAAATCATAGTTTAAATTCAAAACTTTTGTTCTGACGAGTTCAATCGTTCTCGGGTGCCAATTCCTTGCAATGCAAGTTTCCTGTTACTTGCTGTACCCTTGGAGATTCCCATACATAGATAGATTCTTTTGAACCTTGGAGGATGAACCGTTTCGATTTTGAACTTGTAACCAATCTCATCACGACAATTACCCATAGTGAAAGTGTTAGTGGGAAATAACTTTGAAAAAGAGGTTTTCCATACTCATCTATGCTTCTGATATGTCTTTCTTCAAAAAAGAGTGTTGCTTGCCTCTAAATCCGAGTTCATGCTGGCTTATAGAAGTTCGGCTTAACATTGATTCAAATTCGATGAAAACATTAAAAAAAAAAAAGACTTCTTTCTAACGTGAGGCACATTTCAGTACCAAATGACTTTAATGGTTATATGATTTGCACAATCTATAGATACAACATATCCAAAGCTACAAGGAAGGTGTTTTAAGTGGCGTAGATTGCCTTGCATTTTGCAACCCTCCTGATTATAGTCCACATAAATGAGCCTCTCAAGTTAACTCGATTTATCAAGCTAAACGTTTAATAATTTTCTTCATTGAAACTTATAAATCTCACTTGAATTATCTCAACAAACATTTTAGTTGTTTAATAATATCACACAATTGTCGACTCAAATCGAATTATTAAAAAGTAGTCGTTTTTATGCGGTGTGTAATAGTTTATAGATTGAATATACTACAACAAAATGACCAATTTCAAAAGTGATCTATCACATCATTCACTTGATCTTGTAAATTCAGTTCGACTTATTAAATCAATCATTTCGGTCCTCATATTCAACAGTTTGTCTAACCTAACTCGTATTATTAAAAAGTAATCGCGCTCGAACAAGTATGTAATAGCTCACTAATGAAGTCCAAACTTACTGACAACTTGTATTATGAGAACCAAACTTACAGAGAAACTAACTGCTCCTATCAATTCAACAGTACTTATGAAAACCATCCCCATTATTAGCGACGATATATACACAAACAAACAACAACCAAACAACATTCTTTTTTGTGAGGAAAAAAAAGGGATATTTTGATTCTAAATTTTCCACAATCAATCAATTCCCTTTCTTCAACCAAAGCTTTCTCTCAACCCCTCTGGATCGGGCATCTTTCATCACCGCAAGCAGCAGAAGAACTTGAGGAACGAGAAGCAGTCGACAATGGCGCCGAACCAGCTCCGCCGCATCTTCCTCTTCCTCCTCCTCACCGATTTCCTCTCGCTCTCCCTCCTGTAATGCTCCAGCAGGTCTTCTTTGTACTTGTAATCCTCTATCCCTTCCGCGTCATCCGTCCCGTAGAACACATCCCCCACGATTTCACTCGACGACCCGCAGCCGCCGCCGGGTCTCCGGCCGAGATCCAGCGTCCGCATAGACGGCGGTGAGGATTTCTTCGGGCTTCTCCTGATCAGCCTCGACCCCCAGCTTCCCCAACCGCCTCCGCTGTCTGCGGAGGAGGGGGAGAAGCAGCCGCCACAATCCTCCCCGTCGGACAGGCTGAAAGAGAGGCCTCTCGGCATCGAGGGATTTTGGGAGAGGAAGAAGGCAGAGGAAGGAATTTTTGGGGGAGGAGAAACAAGAAGAAATGAATTGAGATAGGAATTCGTTCGCTCGGCCGCCGATAAAACAAGACGAGAGACGGAGAGAGGGAGGAGGAGTGACGTGGCGTTAGATGGTTGGTCGGTGGAGTAGGAAGTCTTTTGATGGCTACTGCCCATCGCCAAAGCCAATTACGATTAAGCATAATGACCAATATCATATTGAAGCTGATGATAATTGCAAATTAATAATTCAATGATCAGAGCCAACCAAAACCAAAGGATAACTATTGTAATTTATAAGTATTGTTGTTGTCAATTGTATATTGGTGGGTGGGTTAGGATCTTAGTGATTAGGAGCGGTTCACAAAATGGGACGAAATCGACCCACAAACAATTCAATATGATGTTTTTATTTAGTCTGGTGTTGATTTCAAAATTAAGAATATTTCACCTTCTTGATTCGTTTCTGCTTTGGTTGGGTTCCATAAGAATTATAAGAAGTAATTGTATGATACAAATCGAATCAAAATGGGTTCGAGCATCGAATTTTTTTTTTATCTATTCCAACAATTCGAGTTATTGAAACTAGTTGGTTATGATAAAATTATATGTATTTTCACTATGGATGACCAAAAAAATCTATCGTTTATCCATGACTTGACTCAAACCGAGTTGAATCACTCACCCTACACATTGAATCATATGTATTTTCATCCTAAATTTTTATACCTTTTTTCTTTTCTCGTTTTCCAATTTGATACCAGTGTTTATCTTATTCTGATATGAAATTGAACTCCCATATTAGTAAATTCGGGAATTTCATTTTTGGTCGGTAATTTTTATTGATAGTCTTGGATGATATAAGATTATGTTTTGTAAAAAGACAAAATTAAATAAAGGATAGAGGGGGAAAGAAAGAGTAATATCCCTGTTGATTGACAAAGTTAAGGGTCCGGATCCTATCAGTAACCGACCTATCAGTAACGGTCAGTAACCGTCCATCGCGCCATCTTCCCAGCCGTCAGATCATGCCAATTAAATACATGCGGGGGCAAAAAGGTAATCACGTCTCTGATAATTTGAATTGCAGACGTGACAGCGACAACCGTCCCGCCTTCTCTCCTTCTTTCTCTCACCTTTCAAGCGACAGTTCCACTTCCCTCTGCTCTCTAACTCTCCATTCTTCCTCCCGATCCTCAATTCTCTCACCAAAATCGCAGCAAAAACTTCCAGAAAAAAACTTCAAATCGAACGATTTTCACAAAGCTTTTCGAAGAATCATTCAACGATACACTGTTCTCGCTTCTTCGTCGAAAAACGAAGGGTTTCCAACTTCAACGAGGCTCAAAAATCGTTTTCGCACAAAATATCAAGGTAAAACCTCACTTCTTTCTTCGAAATCCATCCATAGAACAATAGAAACAGTATTTCAGTCACTCTTCATGTGAAAATTGTAGTAAAACTCGCTACATTACCGAATCGTTAGCATGCATTGCTGAACTGGTGTAGAATCTGTTGTGTTTTGCTTCGTTACCACATGGTATGGCGTGGTAAGCTATGATTGCACGTTATAAAAAGGCAAGAAACCGTAACTCCTTCTGTGTTTTAGTTTGTTACCATATGGTAATGTGTAGTAAGCTATAGTTTCATGTTGTAAAATAGCAAAAAACCATAAGTTCTTCTGTGTTTTAGTTTGTTACCATATGGTAATGTGTGGTAACCTATGGTTTCATGTTGTAAAATAGCAAAAAACCATAAGTCCTTCTGTGTTTTAGTTTGTTACCATATGGTAATGTGTGGTAAGCTATGGTTTCATGTTGTAAAAAAGCAAAAAACCATAAGTCCTGCTGTGTTTTAGTTTGTTACCATATGGTAATGTGTGGTAAGCTATGGTTTCATGTTGTAAAATAGCAAAAAAAACCATAAGTCCTGCTGTGTTTTAGTTTATTACCATATGGTAATGTGTGGTAAGCTATGGTTTCATGCTATAAAAATGGAGGAAAACATACGTCCTGTTGTGTTTTACTTCGTTACCATATGGTAATATGTTATAAGACATGGTTTGATGTAATTACCATATGGTAAAATGAGATAAATATATGGTTTGATTTGGTATGGTAGGAAACCATTATGGTACCATATGGTATATTATGGTAAAAAGCATACTAACAGACTATTACTAATTTCTACATTCAGGTACACTATGGTAAAACCAAGACACAGTTTTCGCACAAGGTGCAGCCCAACAAGAATATCTGCAATTGCAAGGTCAATAACAGATGAGCGGAAAGAGCAACTTGAGATATTAGGCCTAGCAGGCTTAATATCAATCAAGCATACAAAGATAAACAACCATTTTGCACTGTTCGTAATGAACAAATACAATCCAAAGAAAGAATCGTTCAAGTTACCTGACGGGACACGCATCAAGATATTACCAATCGACTTTCATAGAGTATATGGTCTGCCGATGGGGAATAGGGAAGTTGTACCTCCCACGATTTCTTGGGATGACGCAGCAGATTATGCAATAGAAACCCTACTCGAAGTAGATGGAACATCCACTCCAAGGGTAAAGCTAAGTCAGGTAGAAAAAGATCTTCCTACAACCACACAGAGTAAGAGATGGATGCAATTGTTCTTTCTGCTGGTCACCGGAGGCTTGCTGTGTCCAACTTCAGCACCTATGGCTGAACTCAACATGCTTGAGTACTTGAAGACTGAAGAACTGAAACATTTCACCAGCTACAACTGGTGCAAATACTTCTTCAAACACATGAATGAAGGATTGAAATCACCAAACCTCTATGTCAGTGCAGATCTTCACTTCCTTACAGTAAGTCTCCATTCCCTTGGCCATTTCAACCTTGTTACTCATATATTTTATATATAAATGATACTCTTTGAAAAAACTAATACAACTATCTGCATAAAAAGGTATGCTTCATGTACAAACTGGACGAAATGGCATTCTCAACCCAGCTTCGAACACCAACAGTAAGCTACTATGATGATAACAATGTTGATAGCAAATTTGAGAACATTAAGAGCTACTACAATGGAAAAGAGTTGAACGAGATCGAAAAGCTTGCCAACATTAGTGACGATGAGGCTGATGATGCAGCTGATGAGGAAGAGGAGAATGAGCCAGTCTATGAATCACCGAAAAGACAAAGAAACAAAAGTCCAGACCAGTCATCATCACTGAACTTTGATTTGAAGAATATTAGAACAGTCAACCAAGTAAGTACAAATTATCTATATTACAGTTGTCCAATTCATACTAAGCGTAAGTCCTTCTGTGTTTTAGTTTGTTACCATATGGTAAGGTGTGGTAAGCTATGGTTTCATTTTATAAAAATGGAGCAAAACATAAGTCCTGTTGTGGTTTACTTCGTTACCATATGGTAATGTGTGGTAAGCAATGGTTTCATGTTATAAAAATGGAGGAAACCATAATTCTTGTTCTGTTTTACTTTGCTACCATATGGTAATGTGTGGTAAGCTATGCTTTCATGTTTTAAAAATAGCAAAAAACAACAAGTCCTGCTGTGTTTTAGTTTGTTACCATATGGTAAGGTGTGGTAAGCTATGGTTTCATGTTATAAAAATGGAGGAAAACATAAGTCCTGTTGTGTTTTAATACGTTACCATATGGTAATGTGTAGTAAGCAATGGTTTCATGTTATAAAAATGGAGGAAACCATAATTCTTGTTCTGTTTTACTTTGTTACCATATGGTAAGGTGTGGTAAGATATAGTTTCATGTTATAAAAATGCAGAATAGTGATAATAATTGCCAATACCATGTATTACCACCATGGTAACTAACCATACACCATACACACATTACCACCATGGTATCTTACAAAAACTCCCATTATGCAGGCTGAGAATGCAATCAAACTGCTTGAAGCATCAATGAAGGCAATGATGAAAGCAATCAAAGACCAGTACAAAAGCCAAATTGACAATCTGATCAGACACAAGGAGAATCTTGCGAAAGAAAGCTGTGATGAAAATGTTCAACCAACAGAAGGAGAAAAATTTCAGTGTGAAGATGATGAAGAAGAGAATGATGAAGAAATGAATGCCAGTTTGAATAAAACACTCAATGAAATATTCAAACAGACAAACATAGACCAGAACGAAGAGGAGAACGAGGAGCAAACACATAAAGAAGATGATTCACAACCATCTACAGTCGATCTTGCTGCATCTACACCGAAGCCAAAAGAAAAGGAGCAAGATGATTCTGCTCCAGGAGCTGTGAATAGGGAAAGCATCCCAAAAGAAGGAGGTCCACTGGGGGAAGTTGCAACAGAACCACCAGAACAATCTGTTCAAGAAGGTCTGAATCAGGGAACACCACAACAAGAGGACACCCCGAAAGCAGTTCCAGAACAGATATCTTCAAAAGAAACAGGAGAAAAAGGAGCTACCAAAATAGCAGATCCAATGGAAGTTGATAAGGAAACAACAGAAGAAGGGAATACAGGGCAAGCTGCGCAAAAGACTGCAGAAACTGACAGCGAGAAAACGGTGTCAGATGATGTTGTTCGAGAAGAGGCTCCAAAACTGACAACCGAAGCTGCTGAGAAGCCTAAAGTGACAAGGGAAGACGACATTCCATCCTTTGATCTCAGCCCTCTCAACCGTCAAACACCAACAAGACCAACGAAGTTGACTACCAACACGGCAACCGATCAACCAGGAGAGCCTCGCAAAAGAAGAATCGTGGTGAAGAATGTGCACGGAAATGAAAAGAAGGCAAGAGCAACACCACCACCAGCACAGCCACAAAACACCCAGTCACAGACGGAGTCATATGCTATATGGTCAAATCTGTACACAAACAGCCAAGAGAAGCTCAAGGAAGTCTGTGAATGCATAGATGCTTACCTAGAGGACCTGAATTCTCCAACTGTCGAACCAGTTGCTCCACAATCACAAAAATCACCAGTTGAATGGTCAACACCAACACAAACAACACCTGATGATATGTTCAACAACATCCTGGAGTACATAAGATGCAAAAACAAGAAATTTTTCAAGAGGTAAGTCATCATCTTAAAACTTCTACTGTTATATGATTTTACTGTAGTGATCTAGTTTGTTACCATATGGTAAAATATGGTAAGATATGGTAAAATTAGATAAATCTATGGTTTAATGTTACAAAATGTAGTAAATAGTTTAATACCATATGGTATGATGTGGTAAGCTAATGTTTGTTGTTAAAGAATGGATTAAACCATAACTCCTGTTCTATTTTACTTATTACCATATGGTAAGATGTGGTAAGCTATGGTTTTGTTGTGGTAACCTATTGTTTGATGTCATAAATTAAAGTAAACCATCCGTCCTGTTGTGATGTGCTTTTATACAGTGATGAGATAATGTTTAAAATGAAGGATGGAACATTCTTGCTGAAAAGGGAGTCAGTACAGTTGATTGAAATTGGCTGTGAAATCACATCTGATGTCATCGACTGGTATGGAGATGTAATGAACAGGAATGAAGCAAAAAAAGGAAAATTCAAAAGGTGGTTCTTCGATACATCTTTGGCAGTAAGTAAACCCACCCATATTCTGTCAATAGTTCTTAGACAACACATATATAAAACACATAATAACAACCACAACTTTCAGGGTGACTGCCAACTGGACATTGATAGTGGCAATACTGTACTATCTCCAGACGATTACTACGACAAAGTGGACTTGGACATCACCAACAAAGAATGGGCAAAAAACCTCAGCTTCACAGAATGTAACCTTGTAAGTATCTCACCACAATTTTTGCAGTGGTTACCATATGGTATATAGTGCTAAAATTAGTTTGCGGTGGTTACCATATGGTATACTGTGGTAAAATTATTTTGCAGTGGTTCTTCCCTTACTGTAATAACAAGCACTACATCATGATTTGTGTCAACATCAAAGCAGAGAGATTTGAAGTACTCGACAGTCTCCGTCACAAAGATTTTGAAGAAACCTACAAACCAATGGCAAAGAGGGTTGTCCAGTACGCAATCAACTACATGAAGACACAGTTTGCAGAGAAGACAGTAAGGTGGGAAAGGTTTACCTGGTTCAACCTCGAGAAGGTTACACAACCAGATCAAATTTCATGTGGGATGTACATCATCAGGTGGATGAGACACTGGGAAGGTAAGTACAACAGTGCCCTGACCAAAGATTGGAAGAGGATTGATCTCATAAATGAAGAAAGGGAGTGCCTGATGTTGGACATCATTCTTGATGAAGAAAATCTTGAACGGGAAAGGATCATGAAAGAAGCAATAAAGTACTGCAACATGAAGAACAAGAAGAAAGAGTTGAAAGGAAGGAGATGAAAATTCTATTATCGTTTGTGTTAAGTAGTAGGAGGGTATAAGTAAGCTTTTGAGAACAAACTCACAATGTTCAGTAGCCACTTCATTTTAATTAGTAGGATGGTATGAAACAACTTATTATGGTTTGTATTATGACTAAATGAAATGTTCTGTTTTTTTATTATGTTAGCAAATACTTAACATGTGTTCTTAATTCCCAAAATACCACATTTTACCACATGGTATGCAATGTAAAATCAGTTAACCACACAGAACTTCCAAATTACCACATTTTACCACATGCTATGGCATGGTAAAAATCAAATTACCACACTATACCATATGGTATAGCATGGTAAAATCAATTACCACACTATACCATATGGTATGGCATGGTAAAATCAAATTACCACATTTTACCACATGGTAATGCACTGTAAAATCAATTACCACACATGCCACTTCCAAAATACCATATTTTACCACATGGTATGGCATGGTAAAAATAAATTACAACACTATACCATATGGTATGGCATGGCATGGTAAAATCAAATTACCACACTATACCATATGGTATGGCATGGTAAAATCAATTATCACACAGAACCCTCACATTTAACTTCCAAATTACCACATTTTACCACATGGTAATTCACTGTAAAATCAATTACCACATATGCCACTTCCAAATGATCATATTTTACCATATGGTATGGCAAATGTAAACTCAATTATCACACAGAACTTCCAAACTACCACACTATACCACATGGTATGGCATGGTAAAATCAGTTATAAAACAGAACATTCACATTCAACTTCCAAAAATAGCACATTTTACCACCTGGTTTGACATGATAAAATCAAATTACCACATTATACCACATGGTATGACATTGTAAAATTAATCCAACAAACCAAAAACCAATCCAAAAGAACAAAATAGCTTCAACAACTCAACCAGCATCAACCATTCATTCAAATAATCCTCTAAGAAAACTATTACAGCTTCAGCCTTAAACTTTCTTCAACAGCCTTCAAATTCTCCTCCTCAAGCCTGCTAGTTTTTCTCTTCTTCTTACTTACAGTCCTTGCAGCCTCCGCAACTGGAATTGGTCGTTTCGAAGGCTTGAATGAATCTTTTTTAGGCTTAAACCCCTTCACTTTTTGGACCGGTACATCATCTATACCAAGATAACAAAAACAAACTACAATCAATGACAGATATATATAAAATCATTCTCCTCAAAAAAATGCATATATCAAAACACAAAACTCTAAACAATTAAAAACTTACTGTCACCGTTAGAAGACGTGCTTGTTCCAGCAGGTTCAGTAAATGATAGGGCTTCACACTTTTTGATCAAATCAGTCATGAAGGCCATGGCTCATTTATACAAATCATCATCCAATGCAACCCTGCTGATCATTGATGCAGAAACAGCTGACAGATTGAAAAGACGAGAACGGTATTTCGATGGACTATCAGTAGACGGAACTTCAAAAGAAAAGTTCCCTCCAGTTTTCGCTGCCCTTGTCCACCGCTTCAAAATCAAACTGCTAGGAATGTGCTGGAACTTCAGATTGCATGTTGTAGACCACAACATATCATATCCCTTAATTTGATGCTTACAGATCATACCACTTGACTCCCACTTACGACAAGAACACTTGATTTCACCGTTTTCAAAATCAACCTTCAACACCCTACTATCCAACCTTGTAAGGTCATCCTCCAATATGAAGACATCAAACAGTCCTACATGTCCTTCTGGTTCTATCTCCGTATTGGAAAAAATATTATACGCAAGAGATTCCTTGTACTGATCCAGGAAAAACTTGAATATCTTCGGCGTATACACATTAGCAACTTGCTTCACAATAGGGCTAGTAGAAAACCGAGAATCAGCCAACCTAGATAAGGCATAGTACTCTTCTTGTTCTTCAGCATCCCTCTTATTATCAAGCATCCTCTCAAAGTGCACAAAGAACCTACTAACGCTAAACTCTGACTGCAAGTAATGTCGAATATTACTATTGCAGCACTCACTTAGCTGGGTACTCTTCATTCCCGCACCAAAATGACAATTCACCCAGGCTGAAGACCACTTCGTCCTGACTTTGTAAATGCCTTGTAACCAACTGTGTCCCAAAGGTCCCTTCCCAGGAAAACACTTCTCAATCATCTTCTTCCAATTATACTCAAAATCATCCTCATCATCAGCATTATACATCAAATAACTAAGCTCACGAAGGAAGTCAGAGTCACACAAACTTCCCAGATTAACAACTGCATTCTGAGCAATATGCCATGTACACAACCCATGAAAACAATATGGGAAAACAGACCTTATACCAGCAGCAATTGCAGCAGCCTGGTCAGTAAACATTGATAACGGTCTCACACCTCCCATGCATTTCAAAAACTGATAGAAAAGCCATTCAAATGTTGTCGTTGTTTCATCATATAGAAGAGCAGCCGCAAAGACAGTCAGTTGGTGATGTTTGTTGAAACCAACAAACAAAGCTACAAAAACATAACAAAATGTGAGTAAAAACAATTCTACCAACACATACCATGTGGTAAAAGGTACGAATAACAATAATACCAACCCATACCATATGGTAAAGACTCATACCATGTGGTAAAGACTTCTAAGAACAAAAAAAAAAAACAATCCATACCAGACTACCATATAGTACACACTTCTAACAACGCAAAAACCACCACAAATAACCTTGTTACCAACCCATACCATATGGTAAAAGACTTTTAAGAACAAAAACACAATGCATACCAGCCCATACCATATAATACAAACTTCTAACAACCCAAAAACCACCTCAAATAACCTTGTTACCAACACATACCATATGGTAAAATACTTTTAAGAACAAAAAAGCAATCCATACCAACCCATACCATATGGTACAGACTTGTAAAAACAAAAAAAAAACATGATACAGAATGATAATAATAATAATAATAATCATACAAACTAACAAAGACAATAATAAACAACAAACTAGAAAACATACCTAGTGGCCGATACTCTTTGTTAGTCCAGTAAGTAGTATCAAAACTAATTGAATCACCAAAATAATGATAATCCATCTTCATCTTCCCATCTGCCCAAAAAATACTAGCAATGTTCTCTTCAACATCAACCTCCACCTCATGAAAGAACCCAGGATCCAGCTGTGCTTGACGTCTAAAGTATTCAAGCAATGCAGTCGCATCACCATACTCCATTGATAACGTCCTAACCGTTCGCAGATGGTTCTTCAAATCATTCTTTGTGATCCCAACAAACTTCCGACCACCACCAGCCCTACTAATTGCATTATACGAAGAAGTCACACCAATACCAGCTGCATCATTCACCTCTGCCAACATCTTATACACAGGAGCCATTCGTCTGCTGGATCTCACATAGTGACGCAGAGACTCAGGAATCATGTCATGGTTGTGCACATTATACCAACGATAGATCTTGTAGCATTTAAACTCTTTAAACCACCTCAGTCGTATATAAGCACCATTACATCCACCCCTGAGTTCTGGAACATTACGAACACGAACTGTCGTATCAACAACACTTGCATTATCAGGGTTATTCTCGCTACCTCTTTTCCAACCTTCCTTATTGCAACAATACTTGATATAATATACAGCTGAAGAACCACCATTGAACTTCGGACACGCTGATTGGTTATAAATCCTCACACCAAAACCTTCATGATTCCCATAATCAACATAAAAATTATATGCATCATCTGGTGTATTGAACTCTAAGTCCTTCCAAGAATCACGAACAGTAGGATCTATACCATTGAAACCTACAAACATTATGAAACAACATATTAAATGGATTCCACACCACAACAGTATGAAATCTCAATGTATACCAATAATTACAGCCATGATACAAGAGTTACCACCATGGTATGGCATGGTAAAATCAAATTACCACACTATACCATATGGTATGGCATGGTAAAATCAAACTACAACACTATACCACATGGTATGGCAAGGTAAAATCAAATTACCACACTATACCATATGGTATGGCATGGTAAAATCAAACTACCACACTATACCATATGGTATGGCATGGTAAAATCAATTATCACACAGAACCCTCACATTTAACTTCCTAATTACCACATGGTAATGTACTGTAAAATCAATTACCACATGATAAGGCATGGTGAAATCAAATTACCACACTATACCATATGGTATGGCATGGTAAAATCAAACTACCACACTATACCACATGGTATGGCATGGTAACATCAAATTACCACACTATACCATATGGTATGGCATGGTAAAATCAATTATCACACAGAATCCTCACATTTAACTTCCTAATTACCACATTTTACCACATGGTAATGTACTGTAAAATCAATTACCACATGATAAGGCATGGTAAAATCAAATTACCACACTATACCATATGGTATGGCATGGTAAAATCAATTATCACACAGAACCATCACATTTAACTTCCTAATTACCACATTTTACCACATGGTAATGTACTGTAAAATCAATTACCACATGATAAGGCATGGTAAAATCAAATTACGACACTATACAAACTTCAATAAACAAACAAATTTGTATGTCTTACCTCCTGATTCACCAGAGTTAGCTGAATGATCAAATCCAAGATCGATAGATGAAGAAGCAGTTCCAACAGCACTAGATGAAGAACCAGATCCTACAACGCTGGTTGAAGAACCAGATCTATCAATTGGAACAACATCGCCACAATTTACGTAACTCATCTCACCAGAATACTTCAAAAACACCAAAACACAAAGAACATAACACATGAACAAGCTCGATTAGCTAAACATAAACAAGCTCGACTAGCAGCAATGAAAAACCTCCAACGAAACCAGAGATCAACAGAAAACTCGATTAGCTAAACAGGAAGAATAAAAAAAAAACTAATATCTAACCTCGTCGTCGATCAATTATGGAGAATCAGAAAAGATTCGCCGTCCCCTGTTTCGCAGCGGCTGCTCGCAGTTTCTCTCTACAAAAACCGAATCCAACTCGCGCACACGTCGATCAATTATGGAGAATCAGAAAGCTCGATTCGAAACTGCTGCTCGCAGTTTCTATCGCCGTCGATCAACCATGGAGAATCGCCGT